TGCACCTAGTAGTAGGCTATTATTATTAATACAATTTTAATTTTATTCATACTATTTGTATAATGTATTATATTTATTATTTATTACAAAATACATAACATATATAATTGGAAATATCAAAATTTGATTTTATCATTTTATACTATTTTACATTATTTTTATAAATAATTTTATTTATTATTTGTATATTTACCTCCCCTATTTTACAGGCTACATATAGTAATCGTGTATATATTAACATATGGGGGCAACTGGTACATTTTGCTCTAGATAGTTTGGAGGGAATCGGTATAAAAAAAGGTACTTTTGGGGCCAACTGGTACATGCCCCACTGAACCAACCCAAAACCATATTTATGAAAAAATATTTATAATATTTTTGTTGTTAAGATAATAATTATTAACTTTTTAAATTTCCAATACATTAATAATTTCTCAATAATTATACCCAATCATAATAATAGCTATTTTTTTTTTCTGTATAACTAATGACAACCATAACTTAATACTCTTGTGAAAAAAAAATTGTATGATATAGTACATGGTAAATCTCAATTGTACGTGGCATGTTCATGTGTCAACAAACCATCCACTTTATTTATTACTGCACCTGATAACAAAACAAAAAATGTCGAATATTACAAGATGCTTTACTGAAGAGAATCAAACTAATAATGTGACCCATGCAGAAAATATTACTTAGTTTCATCAAAGGAAATGTATTATCAATCCGCCATTGAAATACTTGAATTTTGTAGTTTTATTAGATTTTTATCTTCTTTTTATATATTATTCTAATGAACTATTGAACTCAATAAATTTTTTTGTATTTCATTTTCCGCATTAATTCAAATCACAGATTAATAGTTTAACTAAAAGGTATCACTATACATTAATCGACTGTTAAGTGATACAAATTTTGCCGAGTCAACTAGTTATGATTAAAAAAGGTTTTCAATACAAACATTAAGATCCATGTACTTTTATATTTTCGTTTAATTAAACACATTTAACATTTGAAATTAAAAAAGAGACACGCAAAATCCATTGTTACGTGGATAATGCAATGTACAAAATTGTCTTCTAATATAAATATTATAATAGTTTATCGAGGTGGGTAGAAGCTGGTTATGAAAGTTTCTGTTCAGCTTACCATAATGCGGTTGCAGAGATATGATTAAATATACCTACACAGCGATACCACGACCACCTGAGGTTGACTTTATTCAACTACCGGTTGTTTGGTTAGCCGTGTGGTTAACCGTTTACTGATAATAATAGTAATGGCCAGTTGTACCGTCTCCGATTAATGTTAACCGGAGTTTAATCGGCCGAATTAGCACGGTTAAATATCTGTTATCAGCTGATTAAGCATAGTCGAAGTTTAACCGTAGACCGTACAACTTACTAGCCCTAAAAGAACCACACCACAGGCTGCAGGTATAGAATGGTATTGAACTGGTATCGACATGGTTGGGGGGTAGGAGGAACGATCCTCAAATATTTCGACACCACCACCCTCCTGTTCATAAAAAGTAAAAGTTGGGGTAATAGCACTCCTAGTAACAAATAACGTAACTAATAACTWTTATTKTAGATTTGGATGTTTAAACACATTTTTTTTATCATAAAATATATTTTTTCTTCTTTTTTTTACCACATCAGGAACTTTTTTTATTCTAATTTTTGCATGTTCTGATATTTCTTTAATTTTTTTTTTTTAATTTTGTAACTGAGATGATATTCTTCACTATAATATTGGAACTAATAACAGGTACGATAATTAATATTGTATGTAATGTGTACACTATACATAGGATGTAACAGAATATTATTATAATATATTGAACTCTGTGAACGTTTATTTATTTATTTATTTATTGACAATATAATGGCGTTTACAAAATCTGTGCGATTGCATTCTTAAACGACTATAATATTTTATAGATGCGACTTTTGATACATGACGTATTAAAATAAATCACAATTTGTTTTTGGTTATCGTATTCAATGGCATTTGTTATAAAAATGAAACAACCAGATAGGTATAGGTATCGTATCTACCATAGGTAACCGACTAGCGTAATATCCTTACACACCATGATTATAGGTATATTATAACCTATTGACAGCTATAAATGTAACAAAATATAATATTCTCTACGTTTAAATAGTACCTACGCATGTTGTGTGCGTTAGACTTAAATCGCGTTGCACTATATGTATGTAATCAATAACATTAGATATTAAAATAATATGATAAAATTATTGCTATTTTATGATATGACAGCGTGTGCCGGCAATTTTAAACGCCTTATCTAAAAATTACTGTGATACACTCTCGCCTATAAATATTATTAGGAAAGTAGCTAATTTTATACCAATCTTTCACGACTATAAACTCGTCCAAAATCTGCTGATCTTCTTCTGTCTACGTATGATAGTAAAATATGAACAAAAATAAACCTCCGGTCTCTTCAGCATTTCTCTCGATTATATTTTTATTGTTGCACAGGCCTTTCATAATTTTAGAATATAGATCACACACCGCATAAAGCACGTGTATATACCACTCACATACCTATTGATTTTAGCGCCGATATCTTTTGTAATATTTAGGCAAAATTTATTTGCGTCAAGCACACACAAGTGTGTGTGTGTGTGCGTGTGTGCGTGCGTGCGTGCGTGCGGGCGGGCGGGCGCGCGTTTATGCATGTATATTATGATGGCCTAATGTTTTGTTTTTTTTTTTTTTTTTAATGTTCAATACGCCCCGAAACAGATTAATTAAAATAATTGTAATTGGGGATGAAACCATCCCATTCCTTCATACTATCAAGCACTTTGTCTCTAAAAACACACGTCATACATGTCATACATATTATACGTAAAATGGAACATAATATAATGCAACCAATCAGTAGGGCAGTGAGGCGGCAGTCGACATGCGCTTCGCGACAAACCCGCTGCAGACGACCGCTTGTTCGTCGATCTGTTCGTGGAAATAATTCACCGATCGCGAGTACACCTTGAGTTCGATGCACTTTCCGGAAGCTGCTGCTGGCGCTGTGGTCTTCCTCTGCTTGTTTTTAACGTTATTGTTGTCGCCGCCGCGGACGCCGCAATTCTTCCGGCACGACGCCTTTCTGTCCACGTCGTATTCCATGATGGTKCCGAACGGATTTTTGCACGTAATTTCTTCGGGTGGTCGGACAGCCCTGTCCCGCATCCGRCGCTCGTCATTGCCGCGATCTTCCCAACAGTCAGCGCTAAATCTTCGCTGGTGACCGGCCGCCGCGGCCTCCACAGCCGCCACCACGTCATCCGACACGGCCGCAGCGGTGCCGTCACCGCGCTTGCCGCCCTCGACGATTACAACCTTGATGAGCGGTACCACTGAGTCGCATATCTCGCTCACCTCCCTGGCCAATTCAAACTTCTCGAACAGACTCATGTTGCCGTTGCGCTCGAACGCCGCGTGTTTGTCGCTGAACGCGAACAACTGCGTCACGCTCAGCGCATAGTAGTCGCCGAACAGTCTAGACAGCTCGCCATACGTCTCGGTCAGCGTCTGCAATTACAAATGAAAAACGATATTATACTACTGTGATACTCGTCGTATGCAGTGCACACGCGAGCGCATTTCTCTGCTGCAGCGATGGAGAGTATAAGTGTTTTAAGTGCAGTATAATAATATAAGCTCTTATAATATTGTCTTACATATTATATTATATACAAGTAAACAACACCTACAATCCATTCTCGTATGTTGTACGGCATTAAATGGTGTATCCTTTACAGCGTACAGAATAATAACCAGGGCTCGGATTTTATAGTACTAAAAATAACTGAAATATGAGCTATATTACCTAAAAAAATGTAAAATAAGCGCTATAATATAACGTAAAAACATGAAAAATAGCAAAAATAAAAACGTATTCTGCTCAAAATTAAAAAAAAAACTTATATTTATTATTATATTAACTAAAGATTATTTATGAATTAATAGGTAGGTACATTTATAATATGGGCAAAATTTGGGTGTTTTTTTTAAGTATTAAAAAAAAATACATTTTTATAATTTTCATACTACATAATATAAACTAGATATATGAAAATACAAAATAAAACGTTATATTATGTAAATTAGCAAAAAAATAGCACCAAAACTTATAAAATAGCACTAAAAACCCAAAATACTTCAAATACACAAAACAATAGCATTATAAAATTTCAAATTTGGAGTCCCTGGTGTATAAACTAAATTTATAGCTCAATCTGCTATTTTTATCTCTATACTATAATAATTAGCAAATGCTATAAAATCCGAGCCCTGGTGATAACCTTTTTCATAGATTTATGGTAACGCATAATTTATCATAAAAATACAATACGTCTATACAGGTGAGGTACCTACTGCATATTATTATATTCTTCCTAAATATTATGTTTCCTCTTTTTGTTTAAACTCAATAACTACACAACAGTGATTACACTTTAAAAACCTAATATCAAAATACTTTGGCGTTTGGCTATTTCGAATTTATTAAGAACATCCATACCAAAAACTTTTTTTTTTGAATTTGAGCAACCAAAAAAATAATATCAACTATAATAATAGTAATAATATCGTAGCTCTTTACAATACTGTAGAATAGCACATAATACATTTCAAAAACGTTATTCATTAAAAAAAAAAAAGATTGACAAGCATTTTATTGATAAGGATGAAAAGGTGAAACATCCTGTATGTTATTATATCTAGACGTGACACAAAGACTTACGAACGGGTACTTAACCAATAACCATTTTAAAAATCGTTTTTTTCTTTGTGTGTAAGTGTGTAACCAACTGTGACGGACGATGGTGTATCCAATTTCGATATTTAACATTATATTATCATCAATTCTACGTTATATTATATTATGATATATTTCTATATGATTTTCGTGCCGATTATAGAAATTGTTTTCTGAATATTTGGATCTTTCACAACTAATTAATTATAATTTATAACCACCATTAATCTAGTTACATTTTCAGCAACATTCATGGTTTTATTAGATACTTTTTTATTAGATATCTACCCATTTATTTTAAGAAACAAGGGAAAATTTAATTTATTTTTCCAAATAAGAACCCCCCCTCTCTCTTTTTAACTGTAAATTATTTAGCGAATACATTTTTGAAGGATTTTGATGCATCGATATCAAAATTCGGACGAGTAGTTTTCTAATATTTAAATGTTTGTACTAAGAATAATAATCCTTAAAAATCGTTTTACAAAAGTATAAAACACGTGTACATATCGTGACCAGTATTTATGATACTTAGGTCGTTTTTACAAATTATTTATGTTGATAGATTAATATTAATGACTAATACTTTCAAATCCACCATAGACCACATATCTTATAAATTTAAACAATAGACGTTTTATCCTTAAAACACTAAGTTAAATAATTCAAAAACTACTCATTAGAATTTTGATTTCAATACATCAAAATTGTCAACAAAAAATTCTCCGCTAAATAATTTACAGTAAAAATTGGGGTTCTCATACGAAAAACAAAAGTTTGTATCGCCACAGGACACTCCTTAAGTAGTACAAAAAATCTCAAAAATTTGAAAATATGGTCTTTGAGTATATTTAAAGATTCCAAAAATCAGATTTTAAATAGCTTCATTGTTAAAGAAAAAAGGGGTGAGCATGCTTGGAGTATCACCCTGTATACTGCAGACATCTCTACAACTAAAATAAATTACGCGTCACATGTAATTAACGTCACTTCTCACGTTAAATTATGTCTATAAGTTTACATAACAGCACACTGTATTCGAGTGTATACAGCTACTTGTAGTAGGTACCTATATTAAGAAAAATTATAAAGATAATAGATATTATGGATTATGTTTACAATCGATAGTAGCCTCGGTCGGGTGTTTGTTCAAGAAAAGAGAATAAGAGAAAAAATATATAATTATAAAAAGTACTCGAGTTTACCGTAAATAACGGATTGCTTCCGAGTGATATCTTTGTATAGGTTAGGTGTATTATTATTAGGTGTATAGATTGCAATATAGAGTTATAGTATGAAAATGTGCGTTTCGAATGCGATTAGCTGACTTTCACACGTACTTCCTGACATAGGTCAAACAGGCTGTTCCAACGTGCGCTATTGGCGTCCTTCTCGGTGGCTAGCATGACCGCTAGCTTCTTAGATATGCCTTTTAGCTTGTACACTCGGAATATCGGCAGAAGTGCTCGTTCCATATAGAAATGTTCGCTATACACATCCGCGTATATATCGTCCACGCTTTCTCTAAATTATAATGAAAATGGGATGTTATTATGTATACTAATACATTATAAGCTACCAGGCAAACAATGACATATATTTTAGTCATAGACGATCAAAATCTAAATAATAAGCCACGGTATTATATTTTAAAATCTACCTATATCAATTACTTACAAATTATTGCGCAAGAAAGGCCTAAAATCCCGTAGAAGATGACAATAGGTAATCATTCGGGTCCTCGCCACTGACTTCAAGTGTTTAGTTAATAAATCAGCTAGATCGTCCAAACTCTGTAATACCCTAGGAGCGTCTGGCCACATGTCTTCGACATCGTGCAACAGAGTGTCTGAACTCTCCTTCACTAAAAAATTAACCCTATTATAGACCAATTACGAAATTGTTGTAAGATAATTAATCAAACTCTTGCTTACGTTTGGATAGCGTTTGTTCAATTAACGATTTGTCATCCATCAGAAAATAATCAGGCCACAGTGCTCGTTTTTTAAAAGCAACCAACATTTTGTCCATTTCTCTATTGTAAGCCATTTCGTTTTCCAAGATTGATAATCGAACTCTGACTAAAATTGCGTCTATATCATTTACTCCGCAACGCATTTCTATTAAAAAATATTCAGCGATTAAAATAATAATAAATGTAAAACTGTAAGTAGTTGCKTGTGCATTAAAATATTTAACTGTTCGTGACATTAAATTAATTATTCATTTAATATGGTTAGCTTACCCCTGTTTACTTGAATAAGTGTCATGGGTAATTTTTCCCAACTTATTATCTCTTGCAGTGAACGGCTCCTAGAAAATGGCATGCGTGAAGGCTTTGATAGTTTATTACTGGGCACCTGAACATTTGTAAATCAATTAATAATTATGATTAATAAAATATTCTCATTTTATTCAAACAATAAATACATAAGCTTCATAGAATTTATCTATATGATTATAAAATTATAAACTGATATTACGTTTTAACACTTTACGTCTATCTTTCAGATGTATATCTCGCATATTATGTTAGAGTATATTATCGTATTATATAAAATATAAATATATCTATGTGTATATTTTAATGTGAGTAAGAATGATTGTCGTACCTGTTGATTTATCCTAGTCAATGGTTCATATGGAGCTGAAAAAGAAAATTCTGATTGAAAAATCAACTATTAAATTGAGATTTAAAATGAACAACTTACATCTGAGTTGAGATTTTTGATTAAGGTATTGAAAATAAGTCTCCTCATTCCAAGCTTCTTTAACTTGTCGCAAACGTTTCTTCCAAGCGATTAGTTGTTTCTCTGTGTTGAACTTAATCTTAAACCAATCCAATTTAGCAATGTTTTTTATATGCAAAACTAGGTGACTTCCGTCACAAATTCTTCGACATACTGCCAAGTCTCTCACTGCGTGGATTTTTGTCCTTCGGGGATCTTGATCATCTCTGTAAATAAAAGTAATATACAACGTAATTTTTTTAACTGAAACTCATTATTTTTCAAAAGATATTTTCTTAATTTCAAAATTTTATATTTTAGGAAAATTATACATACATGTAATTCTAGAATTTTATATTGCCTTTATTATTTTTATGTTTTCTAAATTCTGAGCGGAGCGATAATTTTATTGGTTTTACCATTTTGTGTTTTTTGTTGGATTCTGACGTCACCTTAAGGTTAGGTTAGGTTAGGTAAATACTTTGATATTTCACTTTTCAAGTGTTTCTAAATTGGATCCAGTTAATACTTGGGAGTTAAAGATAATAAATTCCATTTACTTCTCAAAATAATTGGGATGAATGGAATCTTTTTTTTTAATAAAAAACTGAAAATCAGATTTGTCTTTTTCGTTTTTTTAAATGTTTTTTTCGATTTATATAAGATGAAATAATTATTTTTTTTTTTACTAAAAATGCTTGTAAAATAAAAACTAGTTCCTCATATATTATTAATATGCTCTCATTAAAAAAAATATATACAAAAATACATTCTCACAATTGTTTTATAGTATTTAAAGTTCAAATTCTGACGAAAATTTATCAAAATCATCAAAAATTCCAAAATTTCATCGTTCAAATTAATTTAAAAATAAAAATAGAGGTATTGACCATAAAGAACATTCAAAAATTCTATTGCTATTACTTAAATTATAATTCATATACACAGTAAAATTGTCAAAGTATCTAAATTAACTTTCAACTATTTTATACCACAAACTTACGTTCGTATAATAATTAATAGCTAGTAAAATATAATATGAAGTTATGTTATATAATGACTATATTTCATATGAATGATATAAACAAAATATATGTGACTCATTTTTAAATAAAATGTTAAATATTTTCAAAATGACAAATGTAATATATATCAAGGGATGTTTTTATTAACACAGTAGTTACCCATAAATCCAAAGTGTACTGTTGCTGAGCACGATAAATCTCTGCCTCCAATCAGGGTCTCCAACCACTTTCACCATCAAAATATCGCAAAAACTTGATATGGTTAACATCTTGATCTAAAATGTATACAATTAAATATTTTAGCTTAAAATTCTCAAACATATAGACATCTATATATTTTTAAAGCTCGTTAAAATTATCCATTTGAATAACATAAAATAACATTTTTAATTCTAATGATATCTATATTATGCTATATTTTATATCATTATACAATCATATCTTTTATGTCATATATAATGGATGGTTAAAATGGAACACTTTAACTGATGATCTAATTTTATGATTATGAGTTACTACCTATATGAAAATTTATGCTAGATACCTTTTTTTTCATTGTTCAACACTAAATCAAAAATAACATTATATTTTTTTATAATTTTCAATATCATTATAATCTTCGGTTTACAAATATTAAAATATTATTTTTACACAAATGCTTAGCTGCAATTTTGTTTATAAGTATGTGTACAGTTATAATATAATGTTATAACGTTTTGTTAGTGTACCAATGCAACTAATCGGTCATCAACAAATTCATCGCCAAAAGCCAATTTTCATTTTAACTTTTTTTTATTAWTTACAATAAAGTTTAATTTTGCCTTGGTCATCTAAACAACAAGATAAATATATTTTAACATAATATGAAATAAAATATATTAATACAGGGGGGCTTGAAAATTAATTACATTTTTATTTTTATTTTGTCTAGTCTGATAATTTCAGATGTATAGATATTTATAGATACCTAAGGTAAAAAATCTTATACTTCGGTAAAGATTTTTGGAAGCAAATTGGATCCAGTTCGTATCTTTGTGAGGTCAAAATTGTAAATTCTCAGTACTTTTTAAATAATCAGGAAAAAAACAAAAAATAAATAAACAAATGAAAACTTGTTCAAATTACTTGGTAACTTGGTTAGACTGTCTTCCCTTAAATTATATCTGATTAATTCAAGTTTCTTTTTTTCAAAAAATGTCAATAAAAATAATCACCTGTTCCTCATAAATTGTTATTTATTTAAATTATAAACGGGTATTAAGCCCAACTACAGCATGTGTATGAAAAAACATATAATATGATTAAGAAAAAAAAAAGTATAATTATAATTAAAATAAAATTATATAACTAATAAAATAAAAAGTTTTTATACGTAAAAAAGAAGTTAAATACAAATCACGTACAAATATGAATAATAATAATATTAAGAGGGTGGAGTGGCCGAGCGGACTAAGGCGTCGGATGCGACAAACGCAGTCGCCGGTTCGAATCTCGGTCACGGGCGGCATCGCGATGTCTGGAGAGAGAGGCCGCCGGCCCCCAACCGGGCATGGCAGAAACCCACGGATACCCATTCAAAATTCTGCCAAAAAAACCCACGAGTTAAAACCTTACAGTACCTTCCCCTACAGTTCCCCAGGCTAATTACCTCAGTTGTCGAAGCCCTAACTATAAAAAAAAATAATAATAATATTAAGTTTGAAATAAATTAAGATTCTAATTCTTATTGTTCAGATAAAAACTTGTTAGTACTCGTATTATAGTTATTTTAGATAAATTTATAGATAGTTATATAGATATATTTTTAATAAGTATTTAAAGTTCACATTTTGACTAAACCATAACTACAAAGTTTGTAATAAAAAAGCGGATAAGTTGTGAATGTCGCTCTGCTGTACATTAGGTGTTACAAGTGGGTTACTGTAATGTGTGGAATTAAATTTTAATACAATGATATTATATCATTGTATACGGCAAACAATTCTGAGCGGAGACAGATTATCTGCCAAGGATATATAATATTATAGATTATTAAAAATGTTCAAATCTTAAATTTTAAAAAAAAAGTCGCTCAAATGTTTTGAAAATGTTACCATGTATAGGTAAGGCTAATATAAGTAAACAACCCAAATTTCAAGTTTCTACGAATGTTTTTAACCGAATTACAACAAAAAAACTTCCAAAATTAAAATGACTATAAATAGGTCAATAATGGCTAAAATTTTCTGAACTTTAAACCGTAACGAATAAAATCTAAAATACAAAAAATAAAAATAATATCTAGTCATTTTTCATTTGAAGCAATATTTCTAGTAGAAAACGTCGTCCGTAATTATTTAATATTATAAAATCGTGAAATCGTGAAGTCTTCCGTTTTTTCTTCTTTAACCACTTTTACTTCGATTACCGTTTCGAAAATCGAAAAATGACCTCTCTCAAGTACCATCTCAAGATACTTTTGAGCAAGTTTAGAGGGAGAAAAAGTGTTAACAGAATAAAAAAGAAATAAACATCATTGTAAAGCCAATACATTCCTCGCTTCGCTCAGAATCTAAAATGTATATAGCTAAGGATTGAAAATTTAATTATTGAATACAAGTAGTTGATATTTTTACTAAATTACTGATAACTTTAGGAAAACTGGTATGCAAATATAATATTTGCGCAAAAATATTTTCAACTAATCTATTATACCTACTATGAATACATATTATTAGTTATTTGCTACAGCTAATCAGATATCATGGGTCCAAGACATTTCGTTGCCAGACGTATATGAATTTACTTCCTTGATTACAATTTTCAACAATTGAAACTTGATAGGTAAATATTTTTTTAAGTTATAAAAATATGTGCAATGGTGATGGGGGGAGGTTTTAGCTCGATAGCCCTCTACTACCTGTTTCCACGTCAATTGGTCTGGTAAATTATATCCGGCGACAATTGATCCGTGACATTTGATCCTGTTCAAAAAGAACCTGTACTAAAAATATCCGGTTGGAAAAAATATAAAAATATATTAATCAGTTAATAATTTAATATATAAATCATGAATTATTGTTTAATACATAATAATATAAAATGGTATACTAGAATAATAAAATTAATATAGTTATATTCTGTTATATTCCACAATATTATAGATTATTTTTCTATAATTAAAATCCTAATTTCTATATATATTCGTATTTTATATTTATTTATTTTAATTTTACAGGACGTTTTTTAACCGGATATTTTTTGTATGGGTTCATTTTGAACCTGATCAAATGTCGTGGATATAATATACCGGACCAAATGACGATTCACACCCCATAGATTTTTTTTAAATTAAAATACCCGAAGGCTTTTTTATTATAACGATCAATGATCTTTAACAATACATTTAAGAAGTGTACATAAATATAAAATATTAATATTAATAAATTGATGAATAAATATTTAGTAAATATATATAAAAAACATGTTTGGGTTTTCACTCCTAGTGTAGAGGTCCCAGCCTTAGTCTAATAATTTATACTAAGTCATATGATCTCCAGCGTTTGAGACGCCTAATGTCTTGAGAATTATCAAGTAGTTGAATTGCTGCTAGATTGGTGTGTTTATCTAGCCTTTTCTCGTGTTTTCTGGCAAACTTGATAATCTCGTCCTGGACGGAGATCATCAACAAATCTCGGTGAATAATGTAATTTCTGTGGTACTGGTATACTGCGACAATAGTACGGAGAGCAATGTTGTAGCAACGTTGGATAATCTCTATATGTGACTTACTGGCACAGCTCCACAGCTGTATTACATAGGCCCATATTGGTTTAATTATCGCTACATACAAAATACGTTTGTATGCGAGATTTAATTTGGAGTGTCTACCGATCAGCCAATAAAGTTTCCTCAATTTCAGTTTAATTTGCAGTTTTTTCTGGTGAACATGATGTTTCCAATTTAATTGTGAATCGAGGTGCATTCCAAGGCATTTCGCAAAATCGTTCTGTGGGATAATCTGCTGATCCAAACATACTAGGTAGTATACACTTTTACACAATGTATAATTTACGTGTACCGATTTTTCATTGTTAATTTTAATTTTCCAACGCTTAGTCCAATCGGAGACATTGTTAAGTGTTCGTTGAAGTTGATCAGTCACAATCTGCTGGTCTTCATCAGTTACCAGTATTGCTGTATCATCGGGAAACATAGCTGTCATTGAGTAGTTTGTAGTTGGAATGTCAGCTGTGTAAAGTAAATACAAAATAAGTCCGAGTACACTGCCTTGTGGTACTCCAATTAATATGTTTTTCCAGTCAGTTATTGCTTCCATCGTGTAAGACTCTGAACTGACGTCCAGTCAGATAGGATTCAATGAGTGCGCACCAAATGTGTGGCAGCTGTTCGCGTAGCTTAATACGTAATCCTCTATGCCAATCTTTATCCAAAACTTAAGAAACATCAGGAATACTCCAAAACAATATTTTTCCCCTCTAGTGCATTGTTTATCACATTTGTAACACGATGAACCTGTTCAATATTTGAGTGTTTATTCCAAAATCCGAACTGGTGTTCAGGAATAAGCTGACTTGCTTCTATTATTGGTTTTAATCGCTTTAAAAGCAGTTTTTCAAATAATTTAAGTTACGTGTTCTGGGACTTTAACTGGCTTAAGTAGCGTGATTACTTGAACTCGTTTCCATTGTTTAGGAACGTATTCTGTACGCAGGATGGCATTGTATATATGTGTTAAATTAATCATAGCCTTTTGGGTAATTCTTTCAGCATTTTTTTATTTATTTGGTCGTACCCAGGTGCTTTTTTTAGATTGATATTCGTATCAATTTCGTTTGCAATTTCGAATGGAGTGAAGAACTTAATCGTTTCACGTATTTTTTCCAACGGTTGGCACTGTTCTATATCGAGTTCAGAAGCGATTTTGTCCAATGGATCTCTCGCACGGTGCCATTTTTTCATTGCTTTTCGTTTTTTCTTTACTAGCTACCTGATTTCTATAGGGTAGGTGATGCAAATTTCGCTGCCTTAACACTGTTAGTTAGTTGTTCAATAGCGCTATCAATTTCAATTGGTGTTCTAAGCCTTACAGAGAGGGTTACCATTTCATCTAAAATAATAAAGAATAAAGAATCTATTATCTATAGTCACCTCCTACTTACGCCGTTGGAAATACCTAAAAATAATAGGAGTAGTAAATTTATATACCTTATTATTTGATTTTTAATTGAAACACACTTAATTCTTGTACTCGCGTTAATTGTTATACTTATTA